ATCTTGCACTGTGAAAAATGAGATCTCACTCGTTTTTCTACAATAATTAAAAAAGAGTTTGTTTGCAAAACAAGATATATACCAGTCTGCAGCTAATGCCAATTACAGCTGCTCAGAAAGAGGGAGCTCTGCAATTGCAAGAGATCCAGCAAGTTGCACAGAAGGCTTTGGTTTCACGATCGGTCATGGTCAGAGTAGTTTCAACAAACAAACCTGGTGAGCTAGAGCAAACGGCTCTTGAGCACATAACAATGGAACCTTGTTCACTTTAAAGAGGCACGTACTCCAGAATGACAGTCAGAGAGCGTAAGTTGTCCTCAAAGGGTGCCTGCAGGGAGAAAGAGCGTGAAAAAACGAAAATCATTCCAAACAACTCACAGCTTTGGAAAACTCGAGCTCGTGTTCCACGCATAATTGTTTTGCAATCTCCCGTGATCAACATCACTTAAAATGTTATTTGTGAAAACGAGAGACTTCGATCATATCTGAGATAACAAACAAAAGATCTTCCTTACGATCGAAATTCGATCTGCGAAAGTCTCCTGAATTTCTTTCGAAGCGTGCTCGAGCACCTACATTTGATTGCTAACGTTAAAACCAAAAGAAACCAATGTACCTAGAATGGGTACAGCCCGGGGCCCAAGAAGCAACACTGAATTGTTGCACGCTTGACAAATCGGTTGAGTGTGAGTACGCTATTCATTACATTTCATAGCCTCTCAACTTCTATGTATGAACTTGAAAAACACTAAGTCTACAACACCAAAACATCCACCGACACTTCGCTCACTTGCCGGTAGCTATTTCATCTAATAGTTGCTCATATAGATTTGTCTGTGCTCGAGCTTTTTCTGCTTACACCAATGAAGCGTCTGGAGAACAAAGAGCGTGACACTAGCTCCGTTTTCAAAGGTAAAAGCCCCGATGAAAAATTTGTTTTTGCAGAGTAAGCTTTTTTAATTTCCTGAAAACTTACCTAGATTGTCAGTGGTACTCACAACCAGTTGACTTGTCAATGTTCTCTGGAAGGTGCAGAAGCGAAAACTTTCTAGGTACCCTGATACGCTTCTGGTTCCTTTTGCGAATCCTGGGCACGGAAAGCATCCACTCGGGCACATCACAGCCAGAAGCTTTCTGCAGCAAAGGAACGTCTTCCTCAGCATACAGTGTCAAAGCATTTCCTGGCAGACCAGCTCGGCTGCTTCCTGCAATACGAAAGCTGGTTTTATGAAGATGGTACCTTTAGTTCATTAAGATCAGAAGCATTAAAAACAGAAGACATTGTGAACAACATACAAAGAACCCGTGCCTTGTTGGCTCGTTGTAGCCAGCTTCCTATTTGGCTAACATTCATAAGAAATTCAGGTTCTAACACTCTCGATTGAAGGATACTCCGAGCTAAGCTGTTGGAAACATTTCAGCCTTCCCGCATAAACGTCTACGCTCGATCTGATCACGCATTGTTGCTGTTCCAGAGAATGAGGGACGAGACTTTCCTCTCAAACCGGAGATATCAACCGGGGACGGGAGTGTTTCCAGTTTGGCATCGCCCAGAGTGTCCAGCACTACTTGTGCCTGATCGACGAGCCCGAAGGCAACCCCGTTGCGCGGATGACGATCTTGAGGGGAGGGTCCACAATTGAGCTCAACAGGTCAATGTCAATGATAGTCAATGGAAGTCCAACATAGTCTTTGAAAACCTTTATCAGCTGCTCTCCAAGGTTTCCGCCAGTCTGGGGAGATTAATTATTGCTTTAAAACCAACACAATCGCCGTCCTGACATATTTGTTAAGGACGCAACAGGCGATCGGCCTCTTATCGTTGGGATTGTCGACTTCTCTCTAGAGGAATGTGTAAGGTCTGGCTTGGTTGTGTGTGTTTTCCTTTTTCTTGCACTCATCCAAGTGTTTCACAAGGCTTTTCACGTACATGCTGGTCACCGGTACTTCGTTTGGTGCTCTGGTGGAATGTGGATTTATTATCCGGTATGCCAATATGAGTAGAGGACAACTTTAACTTTCCGCTCCTGCTCCTCACAAAGCTTTTCCAAGTTCACGTTCACTCCCAGGGCTTCCCGTGTGGTCGAAAGCTTCAAGTCCATAGCCAAACAGCACAGGTCATATCATTCAATCGTTCAGGGCATGGAGAATCTCAGCTTTGGAGACTTGGAGGATGTCTCTTGCAAGTGGCCGAGAGACACTGATTCGTCATCTCCGCCAAATACAGGGAGAAGGAAGTGGTTCTCAAGGTGCGGGACTTGACTACTCTCTGGTTTCCAGACCCCGAGACGACCAACCTCCGGAAGGTCGTCACCGAGGTGGACGCGTACAAGACGCTCCACAAACTGCAGGCCGTGCAGATACCACGCCTCGTCTCGTGGGGTTTCTTGTGTGGGACAATGTTTGTCTACGTGATGACCAGCGATGAAGGTACACCTCTCGGTAGCTACAGACGTGCAAGCAGCACTTGTTCCTGCCCATGAGGCTCTTGCCACGATGCATGCCAGGGGTGTCATCCACGGGGACTTGTCGCCTCTCAAGATCCTCCTCGGACCTCGCTTTGCGGAAGAGCTCGTTGATTGTCCCAAGATTCGTGATCTTCTCAATGCGTACGTGTCTATTGACAGCTTGAATTTCAGGTTGGCAACGAGTTGTCACTCAAGACGGATGAAGCATCTGCTTCTCAGGCTGATTCGTAAGCTCATGTCTCTCCTCCTGCCGTGTTCATGTCCTTGTTCATTCGTGTGTTCAGGTTCAACGAGGACGTGATCGTCGAGGTGCTGACGACTCTGGTCGACAACCCGCGGTTCCATGATCTTAAGATGTTCCTGGAGGCAACACAGGTGGTGTAACTGTGTTGCTTATGAAGAACAGAAGATGAAAAAGCCACCAAAACCAAGCAATATGCCATGAACACAAATGCTTGAGCACTGTTACATTTTTCATGTTCCAACACAACACCAGCCCAAATCCACTGCTGAGCGAATTCCTCATCCTGGTTTTGTCCAAGCGCTTGAGTGTCACTAGCCGCTGCCAAACTCGAGCAAGCCAAAAGAAGGTCGGGGATGTAACACCTGGAATCCCGTTTACATCCTGCCAGCTTCATTCAGCATACCCTGTATCAGTGTAGTCTAAGAGCCGCCGAGCTGTAACCATTGCCACATTTGAGCGAAGTGTTACTTCGAAACGTTCAGTCTTCACAAGAGTCCATCGACCCAAAGATGCGATGGTTCTGGCAGTCAGCGACCTAAAATCCGTGCCCTGGCAGCTGCCTTGATTCCGGAGAAGGTCTGGAGATTGGTAGACCATGCGCATCTGAAACTGATCTAAGATGCTTAACCATAAGAATTCTAAAACCTTTAATTGATTGGAAAAGAAAATACACTTTTAATTATAGGCCTTTTCAACTTTTAACCAATTGAAAAATAAGGTGTAATAAATTCTTTCTTTCTATATTCAAACTTTTATAAACTGTTTTTCAAACTATTTTTTTTGGTTATTTACAAGTTAGTGGTGAATAATGGGTAACTAATGGGACAACATTTTCATGATGAAACATATTGGATTCGGGCCCTAAATCCAAGAAGCTTCCAGGTGTGCTATTGCTGAGTTCATGCAACGTCTATGTAAATTACTTGCTATCCCTTAGGGACTGTTACACAAAAAGTTCCCTTTCTCATTGTTGTACCTCGTGCCTAACGGTGCTCTTTGCCTTCCAGGAGGGGCTGCTGCAGTCATTTCCTCTGTAGAGCATCTAGTGCTATATGTCTTCACCTTGCCTCCATTATGGTGGCTGGATTTGATTCTTTTGCCATCCAGTGTTGCCATGCATTGAGTGTCTCTCTCTTACCATGCTTTTGCAACATTGTCCCTTTGAGTCGACCAAAATTTGCCCCTTAAAGTGTTTGTGATTCCAAGCTTCCCAAAGTGCCTGCAGATGCTCGCCATACCTAGCCTGTCCTAGGGCCTCCTAGACTGGTCCCAATCTCTACTCCCACGCGTCCCATTTGCATCCTGCACGTCCTAAGAGCCAATCCTCCTCCGAGATTGGTAGAGCATTCGCATCTGAAACTTTGCCTGCGGTTAATTTCATTTTTTCTGCCAACTTTTAAAATCGTATCTGCCAAAAGCAAGAACATCCTGGTAGAGATAATTGTTCTCTTTCCACATATTAAGATTCCTCCAAGGATGAATGAAGGGGTCAAATTGCTCAAGCTAAAGCTCAGCATCAAGGTCTTCGTTTCAGTTATTTCATGCGTTCTTACATTCTAAACTTTCAGGCATGCTTCCTCCTGGGACGCAGTTCAACTCGTTCGAGGGTACTGTGGTGTTATCAGCTTCGTCTTTGTTTCTCTATTTCACTAAACATTCGATCACAAAACAATGCCAGGAGATCCATAATCAATGTCTGATATCCCTGGAAATGTTAAGAACATGAGGCAATTGCTAGATCATCCGTCATTCGATATGAAGAACCCGAACAAGGTTCTGTCTTTTTAGCAAAGGTTTCTCAGGAGCTACAGCTGTCCTTGGTGCCTTTGATTTCTGCTAGAACACTGTTAACTTTCATGCTAAAAGATTGATTTAGCATGAAAGTTAACAGTGTTCTAGCAGAAATTTTTGGTCGAGGAGACTTTGTAGTGGCTTTGCAGCTAGACAAAATGAATCTTCAGGTAACTTGCAAGAACACTTGTTTGTGTACCTTAACCTTGCTCTCACAGGTGGCATTGCGAATGGTATCCTTTCTCGAGGCAGACAATCGCTGGCTAAGGTTGGAGAAGCAGTGTTTGTTTCCCAGATCTTTTCTCAATCGTGAGGCCCAACTGGAACGCATTGCTAAACCCGATGGCCTGTCGGAGAATGTGTTTGAGATCGCCTCCAAGAGCCTGGCAGCGTAAAAAAGGTCAAGGAGTTCGATCGCATTGACGTACTGTAAGCTCGTTCGTTCCATTCTTCTCAATAGATAAACAAGCTATTCGCTCGGGAAAAATTTCACTTTTTCAGGTGGAGCAAGCATTTGCCATAAGATTGTATACAGCAGGATGACGAGCTTCATCTCTCAGCTCCTCGAAAGCAACCTTTGCCACCTCAAAGTTCTCCCACTTTCTACAAGCCGCTAGAATGCTGGTCCATGCCACGCCAACGGAGAAGTTCCTGGGATCACCACTCGACATCCTCCTCGCAAGCTCCACAGCTTCATCCATCTTGTCCGCCCGGCTAAAGATATCCACCAAGCACGCGTAGTGCTCCATCCCGGGACGAACACCATACCGGCACTCCATCGCCTGGAAGATCCTCCGGCCTTGATCAACAAGACCACCACCGCTGAGAGCCGCGAGAACCGAGACAAGGCTACTCGCATTCGGCCGCAAGCCTTCGTCCGTGGCCCTGTGGAACATCTCGAGCACCAGTTTGCTATCACCTCGGCGCCCATAGCCAGCCAAGAGCGCGTTCCAGGCCACCAGTCCCAGCTGCGAGCTTGCATCAAAAGCGCAGCGAGCATCGACCATGCTGCCACACTTCCCGTAGAAGTCGACGAGAGAGACCACCACCCCCGGGTCGACTTCCAGGCCGTGTCGACATGCATCGCCATGGACGCGCTTCCCCGTCTCGAGCAGCGCCGCCGGGCCACTTGCGCAAGCTTTGATCGCCGCGGACAGAGCAGCAGCGTCCACTGCACGAGCAAAGGACTCGTCAACTTTCATCCGAGAGAACAAAGCTAGCGCGAGCTGCGACTCACCGGCATCGGCACAGGCGACGATGAGCGAAGTCCACAGCACTGGATCGCGCTGCTCGATCCGATCGAAGACTCTCCTTGCCTCGATCAAGCTCCCGGATTTGGAGTAGCAGTCGACGAGGCTGCTCGCTACTCGGGGATTCGAGTCGAAGCCACGCTCGGACGCTTGTGAGTGGAGCGAGGCCGTGCTCCTCCGCAAGACGAGCAAGTTGGGCTTGATCTCCAGGCTCCTCTCGATCGATGCTAGACTCGCCAAGGCCTTGAGCGGAGGAACGAAGGATCCAGCGTCTAGAGCACAGCCCTCGAGCTGCATGAAGTGGAAGAGCAGCAGCACCACGCCGGCTTGCTCGTTCTCGCAGTAGCCCAGCATCAACGAGTTCCAGAACACCGCGTTGTGGACGGCTACTCGATCGAAAACTCTCCTCGCGTCGAGCAAGCTGCCACACTTGGTGTACATGTCCACCAGCGTAGACGCCACGAACACGTCGAGCTCGCAGCCATTCCTCGCGGCTTGAGCGTGGACGGCCATTCCCTGCTCGAGCGCCATAGATTTGAGCTTGAGATCACCGTGAGCTTCTTCCGAGATTGCGAGACGAGCACAGGCCTTAAGCGCGGCAACAAACGCGAGAGCATCGGAAGATCCAGCTCCCTGCCGCTGTTGCATCCGCGCGAAGAGTTCCAGCGCCAGCTCGGGTTGCCCGTTTTCGGCATACCCGAGTATGAGCGCGCTCCACGAGACCACGTCCGGCTGGAAGATCTTGTCAAACACTCGCCGAGCGTCCACCATCTTGCCACACTTGGCGTAGAGATTCACCAGTGAGGCCGCTACGTAAACGTTGGAGTCGCAGCCGCTAGCTCCAGCTCGACAATGGATCTCCATCCCTCTCTCGAAAGCTTTCTCTCGATCGAGCTTTCCCAGGCTGGCGACGCAAGCCTTGATCGCAGCAACGTAAGTTCTGGCGTCCGCTACGCAGCCACGAGCTCTCATCGTCTCGAAGAACTCCAGCGCCACCTCTTCCTCGCCGTTGTCGCAGTAGCCGAGCATCACCGCGTTCCAGGACACGACGTCGTGCTGTGGCATCCTCTCGAAAACCATCCGGGAGTGATCCTGGCCGCCACACTTCCCATACAGATCCATCACCGAGTTTGCGAGAAGAACGTCCCACTCGCAAGACGAAGAACTCGCAGCTTGAGTGTGGAGGGCGATGGCTCTCTCGAGAAACCTGTGAGATTCTTTGGCCTTCGCTGCGAGCCCCGCCAAGGCCTTGAAAGCTGCCTGGAACGTCCGAGCATCCGGCTCGCAGCCTCGGCTAGCCATGGAGGAGAACAAGCCGAGCGCGTTCTCTTCGCGTCCGTTCTCGGCATAGCCGTGGATGAGATCCGTCCAGGAGAACACACTGTGCCATGGCATTCTCTCGAAGATCATCCGTGCTTCATCCAAGTTTTTCGATCTCGTTCTACCATTCTTCACTTCATCCAAGCTTTTTGATTTCGTTCCACCACTTCCATCATTCTTCGCTTCATCCAAGTTCTTTGATCTCGCTCCACCACTTCCACCACTCTTTGCTTCATCCAAGTTCCTTGATCTCGTTCCACCACTTCCCCCATTCATTCCACTTCCACCATTCTTGGCATAGCCCAGGATCAAGGAGTTCCAAGACACGGCACTGCGATGATCCATCCTGTCGAATGCTCGTCGCGCTTCCGGCAAGCTCCCACACTTGGAGTACATGTGGATGAGCGCGTTTGCTACGTAGAGATTGGAGTCGTCTCCACTGTGGACGATCTCGGCATGGATCCTCCTGCCCCTGTCTAGATCCCCACATCGGCCACATTCCTTGAGTTCTTCGAGAAAGACCAAAATTTTGCTCTTTAGCTTCGTGGATGATGCGCCATTTCTCCCGAGAGGAGCGCCATGCATAGAAGAAGGAGAAGAACCTGGAGATTCGCTCCTCAACGCAAGAGATTCATGGAGTAGCAGCGCCTTCTCCGCCCCTCTCGGAAGAACCCTAAAAGATGGAGCTCAATTTCAAATTTTTTGAAGAACCCTAAAACTCGGCTACCTAGGGTTTAGGCGGGAGCGAGTAGCTATGGCGCTGGAGATCGAAGCACGAGAGTAAGCGCTTCCCTTGTAAATGCCGATTCTCTGAGCGCCGCCGCATTCTCCAGCGTGATCAAGGTGATGCTCCAGTTTTGCAAGGAGAATTCCCTCCACCAGACCTTCCAGACGATCCAGAACGAGTGCCAGGTCTCGCTCAACAGTGTGGAGAACTACGATGCGTTTGTGTCCGACATGAACGATGGCCGCTGGGACGCTGTCTTGCCTCAAGTCGCGCAGCTTAAGCTTCCAAAGAAAAAACTGGAGGATTTATACGAGCAGGTATTTTTGCTACTCCTCTCCTTGTTCTCTGGAGAATTTTTATGTTTCTTCTTCTCTTTTTCTCTCTAGGTGGTTCTAGAGATGATTGAAGTGAGAGAGCTCGATACCGCAAGGGCGATTTTGAGGCAGACCCAGGCAATGGATTACATGAAGCAAGAACAGCCTGAGCGGTACCTTCGTTTAGAGCATCTCCTTGTGAGGACATACTTCGATGCTCGAGAGGTAATTGTTTTCCTTGTCTCATGGTTCTTTTCCACTACTTTTTTTCGTGGACCAGGTATATCAGGATTCTTCCAAGGAGAAACGAAGGAGTCAAATTGCTCAAGCTATAGCTGCCGAAGTCGAGGTGGTGCCACCGTCGAGATTAATGTCGCTCATTGGCCAGGCTCTCAAGTGGCAACAGCATCAAGGTCTTTTGTTTCAGTTTTTTCATGCGTTCTTACATTCTAAACTTTCAGGCATGCTTCCTCCTGGGACGCAGTTCGACTTGTTCAAGGGTACTGCCGCTGCGAAGGCTGATATAGAAGAAACTTTTCCAACGACGTTGCAACACTCCATCAAGGTTCTCAAACTAGAAAAGCTTTTATTTTCTTTTTCTTTTTCTTTTCTGTTTTTATAATCTGATTTTGTTTATGACAGTTTGGGAAGCAAAATTGCGAGTGTGCTTGTTTCTCTCCTGATGGACAATTTTTGGTTTCATCCTCCGTTGATGGCTTCATAGAGGTTCGATTTTTTTTATCGTGATTGCCAGGCTCTTACTTCAGCGTTGTATTTTTTCCAGGTCTGGGATTATATCACTGGAAAGTTGAAAAAGGACCTGCAGTATCAAGCGGAGGACTCGTTTATGATGCATGAAGATGCAGTTTTGACGGTTGCCGTGAGCCGCGACTCTGAAATGCTTGCCTCTGGTGCTCAAGATGGAAAAATCAAGGTGAGTATAGAATGTCCAAGCTTGACTTGTGTTATCACCACAGTTTTATTGCAGGTTTGGAGGATACGAACAGGCCAATGCCTGAAACGTTTTGACAAAGCGCATGGGATGGGCGTGACAACGGTTTCGTTCTCAAGGGACAACAGCCAGATTCTTAGTGCCTCGTTCGATGAAACTGCGAGGTCAACTTACAGAGTTTTAGACTGTTTATTTTTAATTTTTTTTGTGCGCTCTCACATGCGGCAATTATTTGCAGGATTCATGGACTCAAGTCTGGGAAGCAATTAAAAGAGTTTCGCGGTCACACTTCCTATGTCAACGACGCCATCTTTGCAACGGAAGTGAATCGAATTATTACAGCCTCGAGCGACGGCACTGTCAAGGTGGGTGGTGCTTTCTACATTATGAGATATCCCTCTCTCGTTTATTTTTGATATCTGGTTTGATTATAATGCAGGTGTGGGACATGAGAACCACTGACTGCTTACAAACGTTGAAACCTCCCCCACCTTTGAGGGTAAGGAAAAGAAAGTGTTTTTTTTTCCTCTGCTCAAACACTTTTGACATTTTGGTGGTGTTTTAGGGAGGGGACGCTGCTATCAACTCCGTGCATCTGCTTCCAAAAAGCCCAGAACACATCGTCGTTTGCAGCAGATCGTCGTCTATATACGTGATGACTTTGCAAGGCCAGGTGCATTTCTCCTTTCCTTTGTGCCTGATTTTTCCCTTCCGGCTTTGCATTGGCAGGTTGTCAAGAGCTTCTCGTCTGGCAAAAGAGAGGGTGGCGATTTCGTCGCGGCCTGCGTCTCGCCAAAAGGAGACTGGATTTATTGCGTTGGAGAAGACATGTAAACTACACAAGTCACACTCCTCACAGCTGTGGTATTAATGCTCCTTTTTTTCTCCTTTTTCCCTGTGCAGGAATGTCTACTGCTTTAGCAATCAAGCAGGGAAGCTGGAGCATCTCTTAAAGGTGAGACTTGCAAAAACACTCTTCCACCTGGAGAGCTCGTCTGGTTCCTGACAGTCCTAATGAACAGGCACACGACAAGGACATTATCGGGATCAGCCACCACCCGCATCGAAACCTCCTCGTCACGTACAGTTTGGATTCAACGATGAAGCTCTGGAGGCCGTGACGAGCGAAACGAGAAGGAAAGGCCATGAAAAGATCCATTCGAGGCGAGACGAGACGAGAGAGAACCTAACGAGAATTCGCGACAAGAGAGAAGCAGTTATCAACAACTGTGTATGTAGATTACAAGACAATCTCTTTACAGTACCGGGTAAGCACCTTTGTGCCTTTCTTTCCTTTTTCTTTTCTTCGCTATCTTTTCTCATGCCTGCGTTTCCCTGTTGACAATAGAAATAGCAGCACTAGCATTTTTCTCACGTACCTTGCATTCAGTGTAATGGAACTCGATTTGCAGCCGCCGGTGGAGATGGTCCTTTCCAACCAGCCCCTTTTTCACGTCACTCTGCAATTGCCCCAGTGGAATCGCCGCCAAAAAGCCTTTGACAAACTCCTTGCACGCGTTCCTTCCGGTGAACTCCCTCATCTTCCTCTCGCTATTCTCCGCTTCCTCGCTAGCCTGTTCTTCCTGCTTTGCTTCCTCGGACTCCTTTTGAGAATCATCCTTCTTTGCTGCTGCTGCTGCTGCCGCCTCATCTTTCTTTCCATCGTCGCTCTCTCTGTCGCTGCCACTGCCGCTGCTACTTCCTTGCTCCTGTTTTGGAGCCGCTGCCTCCGCCGGTGGCACGAAGGACAGCCGCGCTGCCTCGTTGAACTTGAGAACGTACGCCTGATCGCACCCCTCGAACAGCCGCTCCCCCAGCGTGTCGATGATGTGCACGCTCTGCTCGTCAACTTTGACGACGAAGAAGTGGTCGTTCCAGCTGACAATGTACACCGCCGGCCCGGACCGCTCCACCTCGTCCCAGATGTTGTCGAAGGACATGGCCCCCTCGAGGAACTCGCTCGACTCCCCCAGCCCTTCCGGCCGGAAGAACCCCACGAACGACTTCTCCGGGACGACCGTCAGCGGCCGGACCGCCGCCTCGATCACGGTCTCCAGATCAAAATGCCCGTCCGGGAAGCGGTCCTTGTAGGTGGCGTCCTGGCACAGCTTCCTCCACTCGGCCGAGCCTTCGCGTATCAGCAGATCAAACTCGGCTCGGCTTGGCATGAACGCCGGGAACCTGTGGAGCCAGTCGGCTATAACGGCAACCAGAGCGGTGCAAGCGCTTTCGCCGGCTGCGCTCTCGCTTCTCTGATCGATGGACGCAAAGAAGACGCTGGCCGAGAGCATCATCTGCCCGTCTCGGCTCGTCAGCTCTTTCGCTTCCCAGCTGCCTACTTGAAACGTCTCGCCAAAATCCCAGGTTCCTTCGATGGCCGTCTTCTTCTCGTTGTTCAGTCGGAGCTGGAAGAAGGTTCACATGTTAGCACGTGAAACAGATAGAAAAGAAAAAGAGATATTAAAGGAAACACACTTACCATGCTTCCAAGAGACTCTTCTGGTGACTCGGCTTGCCTTCGGTCCCAGTCGATTTCATCACCTCCATTGTCACCGTATGCCTTGTTGAGAAGTGGCTCGCCTCGCCTGGCCCGCGGGGATCGGAAGCTCAGCTTTCTCTTCCTCCACGACAACATCCTTCTCATGGACGACTGGGACGCCGCCTGGTCTGAATCCGACGATGAAGTTTCCTCCGCCAGCTTTAGCGCTGTCCCGCCATTGAACACCAAAACCTCCTCGTCATTCGACGCCCTCTGATCGTGGCTCTTTCCTATCAGCTGGTTGGCCCCCGCGATTCTTCCATAGCGGAAAGAAGTGAATTCCTCGTCATCGACAGCGTCACTGTCCTCAAAGTTGTCAACAGAATCGGATTCGAAGCGATCGGGGGAATCCTGCGAGCTCTCGTCACTTGTTCTGATGTCGATGGCAGCGTCCTCCACCCGCGACTTCTTCGTACGCAGCATCGGTTTATCTCCGCCATCCCCCAAGTCATCCCTCTCCCACAGCGAGATGCATGGGATCGCCGGCGCCATGATCCTAAAGTTGGTCTCCACAGGTTCCGGGACTTCCTCAAAGCTCAAAGTGACCTGCGACATGCACAGCTCTTGTCAGCTAGGCTGCACGAGACAAAGCTTTTCCTAACAAGCACAAACTTACACCAATCGCTTCCTCACTTTCGCCCCCCAAAATGGAAACTTTGGTTCTATGTCGTGCACTCCCAGCTAGAGGAGCAAACTCCCCAAGATTCAGATATCCCGAGCCAAAGACTGACGCCTTGGCCTTGGCCCCATTAAGAGTGATCTACAAAATTCGAATCGTCAGTCGAGAGAGAGAGAGAGAGAGAGTTAAAAACCAAAGATTTCTTTACCTTGCGCACGACCAGGTAAACGTCCCATGGGTAGAACCCATTCTCCTTGGCAAGAGCCAGAGTACACTCGCAGTCAAATCCTTGCTCCCACTCCAGCGCTCCGTCCATGGTAGCAGCAGCTTCAGCGCTTCGCTCCCTCTTCACGCTCCGGAAACGAGGCCCCAACGATCGTTTCGGCCCCTTCCACTTGACATCCACCACGAATTTCGAGTCGTCGGCCGCCAGCAGCTTGTCCAGCCCGTGCAGCACCATTGTCACATAGAACTTTTTCGTCATGAGCGACCGCAGCGGCCATCTCATGACCTTCATCATCCTCACGGAGACTGTCATCCAAAAAATCCCCCACCCCCAAAAGCTCTAAAGCCGGCCGAGAAGAAACAACGAAACCCTCTCTAAGCTCCTCGCTAGCGCCGGACTGGCTCCTCGATCCCTCCCTCCCAGCATGAAATTTCCGGCGCCACAACTTGCATTACTCGCATGCACTGGAAATCCGCGTGTTCTAGCACCTGGATTTTCCCGAGCGCGCAAGATTTCCTGCAAACCTCGCGATGCCGGCAAAACAAGAGGCGCCTGGCAAGGATTTACAGCCAGCGCCACTCCGCGGACGAGCAATCCCTAGCTTGATCATCACTTACTCTCTCCCTGGGAAGAACGCGGACGGGCGGAAACCCCACGGCAGCTAAAACACACACACAGACGCGGTTTTGGGCCACTTGTACGGCTGGCCCATGGTGGTATTAAAAGCCGGATTTGATATCCCGTTTGGAATCCGGCTGGTCTTTCCCATTTGTTTGGGAGGCTTGTCTTTAAATTTAGGGCTTGACAGGTTGTGTTGTGGGTGGGCAATCGCTGGAACAGTAATTTCTACGCGAGACATGGAATATCCCTAGAGCCCACCGAAAGAGCGCCTAATTTCCAAACACTAGGATGGATGCATGAAAAAGAATTAAAAAATGTGGCCCCGAATGTCCATATCGTGCATTTCCCAATCAAATACTGGCGCGAAAAAGAAGAGGATCCACGGGAGAGTGAATCCTGGCCGTCCACCGGATCTGACCGCTCGATCGCCAGACGCGCCGCGCCGCGGGCGGACGTACACGTGGCGGTCGCCCATTGTGTCCCGGGGAACAATCATAACGAACAATGGGAGGGAGGAAAAGTCCCCCGCGCGATTCGCCGCATATGCCAAGAAGGGGGAGAGTCTTGGATGCTTTGATCCGGTGCGAATCTTTTGATTTTGTGTAGAGATTTTGCGCTCTTCCCCATTGTCAAAAAGCCAAGCTGAGTCTCGATTTGCGAAAGTCCTCCCCCCCTGCCCCAATAATGGAGATTCCGGAACCATGAAGCGCCACTAGAAATGCCTTGTAGCAAGAGCTCTATCAAAGGCTAGAAAAAAAAAAAACCAGAAAAAAACTTGGACCACCAATAAATCTCTATCAATTTCTTCGCCTCTTTTTCTCTTGCGTCCACTCAAATGCATTGCATTCTCGTCAAGATCGATGCAATGATTCAAAATCGCACAAAAAGGAGCGTGGACTCTATGAGCAACAAAAACCTTTAAGAACAAAAGAAATGGAAAAGTCAAAAATACGAATATGCCCCGCCAACCATAAAGTATATTCTAGAAACTGCTTTTAAAAGGCCTCCCCGAATATGCCTCGGCACAGAAGCATATTCTAGAATATTCCTCCCGTCCCAGAATATGCCGTGTGCCGCGTGTGCCCTAAATTTTGTCCAGGCAACGTGTTGGCATGGGACGAGGAAGGGAGAGAAGAAATCCCAAATGGCGGAGATGGAGAGCGTCGTCTTGGAGATGATGGGCGACGAGGACGGCGATGGATTGGTGGCGGCGGAGGATTTCTTCGTGTGGGGGCTGGTGGTAATGGGCTGGATCTTCCTCTTCTGCTCCTGGCGCGTCACGGCGTCGCTGGTGCGATCCATGCTGCGCGACGCCGACGCGCCCGGGGATAGCTACGAGCGCGTCAAATGGCTTCGGGACCTCAAGACTGTCCGTTCGGTGCTCCCGGCGTCGTCGTGGAGAGAAGCGTCATTCTGACTTGGATGGATCGATAAAAATGCAATCTTGGAACCTCCTGTGAAGCAGAGCAAACGAGAGAGAAAAAAAAAAAAATTGGAAAGAATTGTACATTGATAATACCACCGTCCATAGCAGTTGCTTGTGCTACTTTGTGCGTGTCTAATAGAGTTCCGGGGACAGGACGATCTCGTAGAGCTTTGGCCACCACTTGCCAGTTACTGTATCGATCAAGGAAGAATTCAGCATCGTGCAAAGAGTGTCAAACACGTACCGAAGAGACGGTCTTGCTCCTCATCCCAAGCAATGCCATTTAGCACGTCTATATTCTGGAGAAAACAGAGATAAACACAAAGAAACTTGGAACTTTTCATACCCTGTTTCCAGCAGAAATGAGGCTCTTCCTGCGTGCGGGATAAGAAATGTTAAGCAGGAACACGACAAACGGTAGCAACTTGCCTTAGTGCATCCAAAACTATCCATCCTACGACTCTACCGTCCTTGGGAGAGATTCGAGCAATAGAATTCATCTGCGGAGTCAAAAGAAAAGAAAACGATAGAAAAGTGAGAATACGCTGCTTCGAAGTACCTGCCAAACATTCGCCCAGATCTCTCCTTTCACATACTCCAGCTCGTTCAAAAGCTCCACAGCTTCTCCATTGTCCTTAACTGTGATTCTTCTTATCTCTGAAATGCGCGATCAACTCTTCTTGCAAAATCTATCACTGAAAAAACCATCAAACCTGCAAAGTTGTGTGGGTCTAGAAAGTACAAAGTGGAGCTTCCATCGCTTCCTATGATATGCTTGTTGTCGTGCGTCAATCCCCAGCCATCCGTCATGGGATGCTTGAATGTTCCTAGCTGGAAAGAAATGCAAAGTATCGTGATCATATACCTCTGAAACAGTATAAAGTTACGAGACTCAGTGTTTTCTCATCGTAGAGATATCCTTTGTTAGTTTGCCAAATAACCTGTAAAAATCTGCTAGAATTAACAAAACCATCACCGAATCTTAAAAAGAGGTTACTTGTTTTCCCAAAGTGCCAATCCTTCTCCAAAATCCCTGCTTTGCAGACGATAAATCCTTCTAACCTGCACAGACATTGGAACATATATTTTCTGCAAAAAGATAAAAGAAAGAAAACAAACCTCTCCCGTTTGAAGATCAACTTCACGTACTGACGACTGTTAGCACCAAACCCTCGTAAATGAACCAGAACGAACTTTACCAAACTTTCGCGTACCTCTCCATGCAGCCCAGTGGATTCATAGAGTGTATTGTTTCCATGGTACAAAAGCCCCTTTTATCGCAAAAAAAGAAAAATTCTTCTTTGAGCTGGAAATTCAGCAGCGAAATGGATCGATCGAACCTGAGTGAATGCCTTCGCATCGTGCGGATACTCACGGACGATCCGAAATCCCGAATTGATCGGCACCTGGCGAGTGGAAGCCGCCTTCTTTGGCTTCGAGGCGGACGACACCTCGAGCAGCACAACGACGAGCGCAACCACGGCGCCGGCGCTGAAGATCACGCCGCCCAGCGAGAGACGGTGCCGCCTCTTCCCCATTTCTTGGATCATAAGAATCCAAGAACCCTACACCTCTCTCCCAGCCCACATTGCTAGAATCAAAATAGCATATCAAGCCTTGAACAGAGATAGGTCAGTTTTAGGTATATTCTTTTATTCAAACTTTGAATTCGATACACCTGGACACGTGGACGGTGCGGATGACGCGCCTACGAGTGGGCGCCAATTGGTTGCCGCGCAATGGCATATTCCCCCGTTCTCAAATTTTGATAGGCTGATTGGTCGAAGAAGTCGGCTTTGGCGGATCGATTTCAAGCTTTGTTCCGCGATGTCGAATCCAGGCAACATGACTTACGACGAGTCGGATCATCCCAGAATGGGGAATGTCCGGAGCTCATCTGCAAAGGATGAGATTCTCATCAAACCGAAGCTGGGAGCGGTACCTCTATCTTGCGTCAAGTTTCTTCATTGTCTTTGCTCATGTCAGTCCTCGTTCCAGGGAAAACGATCCACCAGAAATCTTCCCAGCGACAACTTCATCTATGGAGTGCTCAACGAGTATTCTCCTACAGTGAAAGAACGTAAGTTAGTCCAGGCCTGTTCGATCACTCGATGAAGGAAACACTAACTCGGTGTTGGTTCCTCGCAGTGATGGTCTTCCGAGAGAACGTCCCTGACCCAAGCGCTGCCAAAGGCACTGATCTGCGAGCTATGAACAAGAAGGCTCCCAAAATGTAAGATCCAACACTCCAAAACTCAAACTTTACTTCTTTTCGTCACTTTCTTCTCTCAGGAAAGTCACACGGGCAGACGAACAGAGAATGTACCGAAGAGAGCATCCAATCAAGCTCAAAGTCAAGCAGAGACTGGTAAACTTTACCTCGAATTGCTAGTTCCACCATGACAACTTTGCTTTGTACCAGGCAAACGTTGCTCCACTTCCATCGGTAGTAAATCCAGACCACGTCTACGGCACACCGCTCGAAAGGTTTGAACCAAAGTGGTGTCTTCGTCAATCTTTGCTTAATATGATCGTGTTCTTCTTTTCCTGAAACAGGGGCGACAGCATGGATGAAGTCATTCGCTATGCTTATGGATACGATTTCATCAGGATGAATACCCAACACCATCACGACTTCCAAGTTATCAGGCCAGTCTTTGTCCCTGTCAAGAACAACAAGACCACCGACATGAGAATAATACGCTGGTTCTACTGGAGGAACCCGCCGAGGCCTAAGCAAAGATTTGTCATTTCCAAGTTCAAAAATGTACCTCACAAGATCAACAACTTACAGAAGATACCACTGCTCAGGGACGAAAGGCCTCCTGTCTTTCCAAAGAGAAAGATCAACAAGAAGCAGCAAGAAGAAGAAGAACCTGGTGGTCACATCCCTTGCGTCAATATGGGTTGTAACACTTGTGCAAAATCTGGTGCCTGATTATCAGGACACCGTTGTCTTCGACCTAAGGTGCCAGCCTATTAGGATCACGAGGAAACAAAGAGGCCTTCCTTATGTTGTCCAGATTGCAGAAGAGCATCGCTACTCGTTCCAAGCCGACGCCAATGCCTCCGTGAGGTGGTGCACCATAGCTGCCAGTAACAGGAAATTTGTCACACAAAAAGTTTAATGTTTTCGCTATTCACCTGAAAGAATTTATGTAGTTCTGCAAGCCAATAGCGTTTGGATCAATGTTGCACTCCTCGATCCGCTTTAGAAGAAGATCCTTGTCATGAACACGCTGGGCACCGGAGATGATTTCCTCGCCTACAAAAGACAATCAGAACAAACAAATAACGACAGGAAACAACGATGACTAACCCCGAATGAAAACGTCGAATGAGTTTGAATATTTAGGATCGTCGACAGCAGGCATGGTATAGAATGGCCGGACAGCAAGTGGATATCGATGCAGAATATAAAAATCAGTCTTGTATCTGTGAAGAAGAATCAATCGTAAGAGCATGAGAGGGGTTAAACAAACTACTCACCTCTCCTTCACAAGAAGTCCCAGTCTCCTCTCAGTTTCTGTGTCAAGGTCTCCAAGAGGATCAGTCTCAAACCCAGCTTCCTGTTATCACGCGTCAGGTCTTGCAAAAATCAATGATAGAAACAATCACCTTTAACATCTGAATCCCCTCGGCAAATGCGAGTACCAGGG